TGCTAACAACTAATTTCTTGTAAAGTTACAAATAATCAACATAAGCTTAGTAACAATGCAACTTTTCAAAATAATAATACTTATCATTATATTTGTTTAACACCTGAAGTTGCTGAGGCTTCAACAACAACTGGTATCTATACAACATCTTCAAATTCTTCAATAAATTATACTTCTACTAGAAAAAATCTCTTAGCAACATTCTAACAGAACCAAACAAAACCTCTTACTATTTCTAATATCATAACAACAGTTCTACTTACTACTCAACCAGAAATTAAACTACTCACTCTAATAGTATCTATTCCTAAAAATAATACTTTCTCAAATATAGAAATTGATACTCCTTTAACTACTAAAACTAAACAACTAAACTTGTTTCCTAAAACTCTCTCACCAATTCATACCAATACACTACTACTATTACTAACTACTCAACAAACTATTCAAACTACTGAAACTCCTACTGAAAACTCCTCTTTAAACATAGATATTGATAATTCTTGACAACATTTAAATAATCCTATTTCTATTTCTAAAAGAAAAAACAAGTAGCTAAATGATATATCAACTAATAACTCAACTAAAAATTCTCAATATATATAAACAAAAAGAAAGAAAAAGAATTACAACAAAAAGATACTACAAAAGAATAAAAATTATATAGTATTTTGAATAAATAAAGCCTTTATTCTAAATCTATTGTATACTATAATAAAAACTAGCAGTATTAAAAAATCTGCTAGGAATATAAAGAATGGAACACCAAAACAAATACTAAAAGACCTGTATATATGTTTGTTTACATCACTATTTCATTATTATCAATTTGTACAGAGAGCTTACATAATATATTCTCTAATTTAGTAGGTGTATTCCTAATTTGGATTGAGTAAACATTGCTGATTATTTTGAATTTGTGAGCTGCATTACTACTTTTTGTAAGAAAAAAATTCTAAAAACAAAATAATGAAGAAAAGGACAATATAATGAGAGTACCAATAGTAAAGATTTGTAGAAGTATACATTATATAGAATAGTATATTCTACCAAGTCTATATTCTTGCTATTACTCAAATATGACTTGACAAATACTTTCTTAGTTGTTTCCAAAGCTACT